TTCATGGAAGTTGGCAGTATGCACAGTGCAATGAGAGAGAGAAAAATCATGTACCAGTTAACTTTGTCATGGAATGGATGAACAGAATGAAAAAGGCCAGATCCAGCAGAATTAATAAAAAGGCTAATCCGTATCATGTTAATCAATTAAGTTTCTCCGATGTAGGTAATTGACCTTAAAGACCTTAGTACAAGAATAATTAAAAATCGCCTTAAAGATACTGACGGTAATACGGTAAAATAGCTTAAAATAAATGTCTACGTTATGGAAAACAATATCCAGGTCTAATTAAATTCCGTTACAGTCATACTGGACCCTACATGACTCTTAATATTTGTAAGCGAGGTCGCCAAAATACAATTGCAGATATCAAAAATGCTTACCATCAACCACTTCTCATACGCATTCTGAAGAAACAAGACTTAATGAAACTTTGTCGTAAAAGTATTATACCGGAAGAGCTACATCCCTGGTATGAATCGTTAGCCGTCACAAACAATACTTCAGAATATACTGCAGAACCTGCTGGACAAGACGAGGAAGAAGATCAAGAAGAAGATAGTGAATGATTTTTTAAAACCCTATTTTGTATTCTTAAAGTTATTAATTAATAAAGTAACTAACTGATACTTCATGTAATTTTGTTATGCAAAAATTCACTAACTACATATTTTTGTCAAAACGTTACGAAAAAATAAACTTTGTTTGAAAAATGCTGGCACAACTTTTACACCAAGTGTTTAACTTTGTAAAAAAATATACACTTGCGTGCATAGAAATCGGCCCACTGTAAACTTTTGACTTTAACTATATTTTTTTCAAGAAATATTCATCAGATCACAAAAACAAATATACTGTTTGAAAGACAATTGAATATGCTTTAATGTGAGTATAAATTTATCAAGAAGGCTTATCGTTTACATGCGTAGTAAACGGTAAACAAATGAAACGTGTTTATGTGGTGATTGTCACGAAAATATCAAATTTGTCTAATTGTAAAAGTATTGCCTTTGCAAGTGAAATTTGCATATTATTCGTTTTTCATAATCTCAGCAGTGTTCAAGTGTGTTAGTTTAATGCATACTACACCACAAAAAGCCGCCCAAGTTATTGCTCTAATCGAAAATGGACTTAGTCAGCGAGCTGTTGCTAGACAATTGGATATGACACGCGCAGCGGTTAGAAGAGTGTGCCAACGTTATGAGGAGACTGGATCCTTTCATAGGCGACCTGGAACAGGCAGACGGCGATTTACAACGGCTCGTGATGACCGCTTTATTGTGTCAACAACATTAAGAAATCGTCACCTTAATGCCGTTCGGGTGCAACGACAGCTCCGTGAGGTGCGAAGAGTGACTGTTAGTCAGTGAACAGTGAGACGAAGACTGCGGGAAAATAACCTGACCCGTAAAACACCTGCGATTGGTCCAAAACTTACTCCAGCTCATCGGCAAGCACGCCTGCGTTTTGCACAGGATCATCGGAATTGGACGTTGGAACAATGGGGATCTGTTGTGTTCTCAGATGAGACCAAAATATGTCTCTATGGTAGAGACCGAAGAAGGAAAGTGTACCGGAGACCAGTAGAGATATTTACAGAATGCTGCTTTGAAGAGAGGAGTGCTTAAGGGGGTGGTTCCTGCATGATCTGGGGTGCAATTTCTATAGGAGCACGAACCGATCTTGAGTTCATTCGTAGGGACGACCGTGTTCACTAAAGAAGAGGTTTAACGGCTGCCAGATATATCGAGGAGATTTTAGCAATTCATGTGGTACCTTACGTCGAGTACATTGGAGACGAATTTATCTTCATGCATGACAATGCAAGGGCACACACCGCAAGAATCGTGCAAGATTACATTGCAGAAGTCGGTTTTCAGGTTATAGACTGGCCAGCAAACAGTCCTGACCTAAATCCGATCGAACATTTATGGGATGAGCTAAAACGAAGAATTCGAGCTAGACTTCATACCCCAAACTCGATCACAGAGCTTATTCTTGCAGCAGAAGAAGAGTGGCTTAACATCTCACAAGCAACAATAGCAAACTTGATTACATCTATGCCTAATCGTATGAGAGATGGTATTCGGACAAGAGGAGGTCATACCCATTATTAAAAAATTAAGTGTTAAGTTTTAAATTGTCAATAACCCTATTTATGTTAATAATAAAAAAGCTTAATTTGCTTAATGAATTCATTTCACTATGTTAAAGATAGGAAGCCGCAATAAGTTTTCATAAATTTATACTCACATTAAATCATATTAAATTGTCTTTCAAACAGTATATTTGTTTTTGTGATCTGATGAATATTTCTTGAAAAAAATATAGTAAAAGTCAAAAGTTTACAGTGGGCCGATTTCTATGCACGCGAGTTTAGTTCATAAATTGTTTTTTAAAAGATAATTTATAAAATCAATTTTCTTCTTTAACTTTCAATAACTCGAAACTACAAAATTGTTAGTTAGTGACTTTTCGCAGTAATATGACGATATATGATCACCTGTTGGACTAGAAAAATTAATACCCATAAAATACAAACAATGGAATGCAAGGCAACCTAATCATTTCTAGTTTGACTTCATTACCAAGTGTAAAATTTTAAAGTAAAAAACAAAAAAAAGTTTAGATTAAACGGTTAACAACAAAAAAACTAACGATTATCAAAATATTAAGAATTTATTAAATGCTTCAGAAACGTCATTGATTTAAAACATCAAAAATATTATCCGGAAAGTATTATATTAGTAGGGCATGCACAAAATCGTACCTGCATTATATCAATCTGGCGAGCCCGTCGGAAACTACATACCGTACGTCCGGCTTCACAAGCGGAATAGTTGTGTTTTGGATTCGCGCATATTTGCGGCTGTAAGAAGTACGCCAGGCGTCGGCGTCCTGCCCGTCCGATATACCCTCTCCCAACGAAGAGAGCCTTACTCGCTCTTTCATTCAATCTGTTGAACTGGCGACCGAATTTTAACATTTGTGTAGTGAGGCTCAATTTCTCTTTGTTCACTGATAATTTCTCGGAATCGATCAGGTTGTTGGTATCTAGGGGGTAATTTAGATTCAGGTTACTGCCCGTCTAACACAGCTGATTAATAGAGAGATGGATGAATATAGCCTCTTTTGAAACCATGTACTTACAGGTCTTTTTCCTGTGATTCTTTTCTATTTTTCTTTGTCAAATGTCTCTTCTATTCCAATTCTTCATTCTTCTGTCTTTAACTTTATGTTTCTTAATTGTGTATTCATTCGGTGTTTGTTTTCTATTAAATTAAAAAATCTTGACTCTTCCAGGTGGTTAACCTGTTGGCTCGTTTTGTATGATCAAATATTTGACAAATATTTCCCTTGATCCATTACACTACATACACTACATACATAACATTCTATATGTATGAGATTCAAAACGTAAAGAGAAAACAAAAGGAAAATATTATATTAATACAGAATAAGAATGAATAATAAATAATATCAGTGAAGAATAACGAAAAAAATTGAATATCTAATAAAATCCAAAAAACAAAATTAAACTTAAGATTTTAGAAGTACTCATTGAGATTTACTTACCAATTTTCTAATAAAAAGTAAATTAAAATATTTAACACCAAAGTCAATTTTGAAATATTTTACACATTATAATTGGTTGCTTACTAGCTATGCAACCATTAGTACATATCGTCTATGATAATAGGTTTGTTCCAACACAACGAAAAACCGTCACGTAACGGTTACGCTCCTGCGCATTAAACAAAATACGTTCCAACAAAAATATGATCGTTCATCTCATCGTCCTTCCAACCGTTCCAACAAAAATTGTGATCGCTCAGTGACGGTTTCGTGACGATAATTTCAGTAATCTGGCAAATGCATGTACTGGTTGGGATGACTTGCGCACTAGAATTTTATTCCACTTTTTTAAATTTGTTGGGTCTAGATTAAATTTATTCAGAAAAAAGAAGAAGTTGGGTTAATAATTTTATCAGGTGCTTAAGATAGACTTGTTATTTATTTATATATTTGTTTTTCGTTATTTATAACTTCCGAAACTAGGGTTAAAAACCAGAATTATTTAGGTAGATTGTCACCAATTTATGTCAGTTGTCAGAAAATCGTTCCAACATCAATTTCCAAATTACCGTCATCAGACGATACAAATGATGAATATGCGCATTAAAAACGGTACAAGTAGTTTCGTGACGGTTTCCGGACGGTACAAAAATTGCGTGTTGGAACAAACCTAAACAGTCATCGAATTTAGATTCCAAACGTCATTGATTATGAACATCTTACAAGTATTTAGTTTGTTTCCGATTAATATAAACGAAAAAATAGAACTGCATTACTTAACAAAGTTTCTAATAAAAAGTAAAATGTATGAATGAAAAATATTTGTGCATAATAATAAATTAAAAATTGGAAAATAAAAAGCTATTCTTAAATATTTTATACATTTCCTATACTTTTTGTATAATTATTTATCCCCTAAGATTCCCTACCAATTATGCAGCCATCAATACGCATCGTCTTTGACGAATAAAAATTTAATATTTATTGGTTATTGATTAATAAAAGCAAAATAACTTTAAATAATTTTAACTGATTCGGAAAAATAATAAACGTTTTCTACACATTACACATCCTGTTAATTTTAAACCAACATAGAAATGTATAGTTTAAATCAGTTAAATTTTGATCTGTTTTACAAGGAAGGACAAATGAAAATTTGATAACGAAAATTTAAATATTGAATAGTATCATTTAAAATTACGATATTTATTTCATTAATAACAAAAGATATGGCCGAAAAGAAATAAGTGTGTAATATAGTTTAGTTGTCAATGTCAACTCAAAACAAATGCCATCTAGTCTGACTAGTCAACAACAAACAAAAGCCAACTCAGATTATCAACATAACCTCTGTGCTCTAAGCTAACAATTATTATTTTATTGTTGCAAAATAGAACTATAGTCAAAAATAATAGCTTTTTACCATGACAGAAAGTAAAAATGAACTTATAGGGCGTATAGAAACTGAAGGTAACATTTTAAAAACAATTGTATTTTTATATCACTAAAATAATTAATATTTTGTAGAATTTTATGTAAATTTTTTGAATCCAAATTCCAATAGTATATTAAATGAGTCTATTAGTATTAAAGAACAAGTAAAAAAATTAGCAGAGGGCATAGAACTAATAAATCAAGAACTTCACAGACAAATACTGGAAAAACATGAAGATTTGTTGCAACAAGCCAATAATGCCACAAAATTGGAAACTGTTCTAAATTCTATGAACAGTCATGTAAAAACATTATTTATTGATGCGGAAAGACTTAAAACTCAGGTAGGGTATAACAAATGAAGACTAACTTTAGTAGAAATGTGAGAATTTATTTATTTACACTTATTCTTTTTGCTCACCATTTATGATATCTATGGGCCCAAACGCTTATGAATTGGACCAAGACCAATATGCAACACAATTTGCAGAAGAAGCTTGGAGATCTTGTTTAATGAGTGTCCACAAAGCATACTCATCTCTTTCTGTAAGCTTTAAAGTACGCAACATTTTCTTTTTTAATGATAAAATTATATTTCTCACAGTTCCTTGAGAAATACTTAATTTTTGAGAAATTTTATGCGCAGAAAGTTATTTGTTATGGTGCACAACAATGGAATTTCATAAATCGTTAGATAAACATTTTCCCTTTGGTATTTGCCAACTATTTTTTCAGAGTGTGGTATAAGTCTTTCACATATGACATTGGACATCATGTTGTATGCTGCATTCAGCAGCGTAATTCAACGATAGTTTCCACATTCTAACTGATTTCCTTTTTTTATGTAATGGTACAATAATACCGCTATTCCACTCCAGCTGGTAGCTGTTTATTTGTAACATGCAACAATATCAGCTACAAATGCTATAAATCATTTATATATTTTACTGTTCTGTTTTAGATAACAATACCCTATAATGAGTTAGAAAAACACACAAAGGTGTTAGGTCGGCTTCATTTGGCTAGTCATATCTTACGACAAGTTAACAGATTGCAACAATTGAGTAAAAGGCTAACAAATACCAATGATCCAGTTCAGAAAGCTATTCTTTTGCAGGAATTAGGTAGTTGATCCTTTAATACTAGTTAGAAATCTATGTAATAAGTAATTTTTTTTTCTAATTTCAGAACAATTAGCCTCTGATCCAGAGCTAAAGGATATCGATAGTGTTACGAATGAACTGAGGAATATTAGGGTACACCAGCAAAAAGTTGTTCAATTGGCCACAGGTTCTTTGAATCAAGGAGCTAAAAACGAAAATATTACACAAACAACTACAGCTTTACAGGTGAGTTAAAAAATTAAAATGAAATAAATTAGAATGAAATACAATAAATAGAAGAGAATAAATAGTTTATACAAATTGTCTACAATTGAATCAACAACAAAGGATACCCAGAGATTTTTGTTAACTATCAAATCAACCATTTCTACTCAGAATTATATAAAACAAAAAAGGAACCATCAGAAGAAATTAAAACCAACTTAAGGCTAAAATAAAAAATGTCAACTCAGAGCTACAGCCAGAAATAAGCAAATCAGAAATAAAGACAGGCATTGAAAGAAATGAAAAACAACAAATCGCCTGGAAAAGATGGAATAACTGCAGAGATGCTGAAATATGGTGGAAAAAGTGGTAATTATACTCTACATTCCCTTTTTAACAAGATATTAAAAGAAAAAAGAATCCCAAACAAGTGGAAGGAGTCTGTAACCATTATTCTACACAAGAAAGAGGACTGCCATCCTATGACACTCCTCAGTGTAATGTATAAACTGCTAACAAAAATTTTAACCAATAGATTGACAACAAAATTCAACGGATAGCAGTCAATAGAACAAGCTGGTTTTAGAAAGAGATTCAGCACAAGTGACCATTTACTAAGTATGAAAATACTTATAGAACAAGCAAATAAGTACCACATTCCTCTATATATGGCGTTCATAGATTTCGAAAAGGCTTTCAACAGTGTTGAACATTGGGCAGTGAAAAGTTCGTTGATTAACAGCAGAATTAACCACAGATATACAGAACTAATAGCCAATATATATAAGGAAGCCAAAACAACAATTAAAGTATATGAAGGAACAAAATCAATACAAATAAATAGAGGCGTGAGACAGGGTGACACAATATCACCAAAACTATTCAAAAAGGCCCTGGAAGATATTTTTAAAAGATTAGAATGCGAAGAGAAAGGTATAAAAATTTGTGAATAACACTTGAATCATCTAAGGTACGCTGATGACAGCATATTGATAACCGATAAAAAAGAAGAATTATTTGAAATGATGAAAGAACTAGAGATAGAAGCTGAAAAGATAGGCTTTAATATGAATTACAGCAAGACCAAAACCATAACAAATACATGAAGACATCACGATGAGAATCAGACAAGATGAAATAGAACAAGTTCAGGATTATATATGTCTGAGTCAAACTATAAAACTTAACAAAGAGAACCAAACAGCAGAGTTAAAAAGACGAGTTAGACTGGCATGGACGGCATTTGACAAACTAAGCTACATTCTTAAAAACAAAAGATATCCATAACATCTTAAGACCAAAGTATACAATCAATGCATACACTCTGCTCTTACTTATGGTTCCCAAATGTGGACATTTACAAAAGCAAACATGGACAAAATCATAAAAACCCAAGGAGCAATGGAAAGACAAATATTGCACATAAGACTAATGGATAAAAAGAGAAACAAGTGGATAAGAGAGAAAACAAAAGTGAGGGAAAGAAGACCGATGGAACAAAATTATTATAAGTTAGAGACTGTGGGAATTTAAACCAAGCAAAGGGAAGGCCCCAAATGAGATGGGCAGATGATATCAAGAAGCATGTGGGCTCTAGGTGGATGAAGGTCAGAGAAGAATGGAAAACGATTGGGGAGGCCTATCTTCAAAGATGGACCAAAGAATGCTAATTAGATAAATAGATAGAACAGGTTCGAAAGAAGAGCTTATTGAACTTTGATGCATTATTTAATTTTAAGGCCATACGAAGTTCAGCGGGTTAGCTATTATGTAATAAAAATAAGAAGACGACGCCTTTGAACACAAAACAAGCGGCATTTGGATGGGTAAGATGAAGGTTGATTTTCAGTCAATACTCAAAGACTGTGGCAACAATCGATCATACAGAGAAAAAGGTAGTGGCCTCAGTACTCAGAGAAGCGGAGGTAGAAGCTTTTAATAGATCAGTACACCGGTTTGAATTTGATTCTTAGTCGTTGTTCAAGGTGTGTTGTACCTTTGGCTGGTGTTTCACCTCCAGAGTGCATCAATGTTAGTGGTAGGTTATACAAAGAGGGCTAGCTGCTGGCGAGTGTATGACTGTTTCATCGTTAGAATACACAGCAGACTTCAAACGGTATTTGATTTTGTAATAAAATCACAAATTAGGTATTGTAGGTTTTTTTATTGTGTATGACAAAAATAAGAATATATTAACCATTTAAATAAAAATCCTATGTCCATTTTGATATTTGTTGTATTTACATGATATTATCACAATGTCTTATTATTATTTTTAGATATTCATAAATATTGGTACAATAGAATCAGTAGCAAATAATTTTGTGGACAACAATTTACATGAATGTCGAGAAAGTTTGAAATTAGCCCTCTCTGTCAGTTCATTTTCCTCTAGCAAGACCAAAGGTGGCCCAGGGCACATTAACCTCACATCTTCTCAAGGTTTTAGAACAAAAGTTTGGTCTGAAATAGAAAAAGTATTTGCTGAAGACATCTTTTCAATATGTAAACAGGTCAGTTAGGTCCAAATTTCGAATTTTGATTAAAATGTTAACATTATTTAAAATTCTATAATTGATCTTTTTGTAGGTGAAATTTTTACACAACACTCTAAACAACTTATATTTGGTTCATAGTAACTTGAATATCGCCGAGAAGTTTTGGATAGGATTTGGAAAAGTTTTTCAGGAGGAAATCCAGAAGTCTACTTTGGCTCTGAAACAAGCCCTAGAAGAGGATTTTCCGAAGTTATTAAAATGTTATTATGAAATGACAAACAAATTAAAATATGATCTATTTGCCTTCGAGTAAGTAGCTTTTCCGTGTTTTATTTAGTGATGTAGTATCTACCAGAATGATCATTTGAAATGATCGTTCTGACAGACACTACTAAATATATTTTTTTAAATCACATTCTGTAATACAGCCAACAAACGTTTTAAGTTATTATATTAATGCAAGCTTATCCGCTGAGTTTTAGTGTGGGATTTACAGAACACTTAAACTGCGATCGATTTTAGTATTTATACCATATTTTTATTTAGGTAAAAGTTCTACATTATTGAGTATTTTAACCTCTATTTTATTAAGAAACAATGTAAAGTGGGCTTGCATTTGAATGAATGCAAATGCTTGTCTGAAATATATTAGTTTTATAATCAAAAAAGTATATTCAATTGAAAGGTATGTTGTTTTATAAAATACGGAGAACTCATGTTTGTTTTTATGTCTGATAATATTTAAATCTAGAAAATTCATGGATTGATACTGTGTGAGTCCATATTTCAAATAGGTAAAGAAATAATAAATAAGACTTACTCACAATCAATTTAATTTAACTATCAGACGATCTGTTTCGCTTTCTACAATATGCAAAGCATCCTCAGGTCTCGATACAAAGTTAAACAAATGCTGAAATAATAAAAAAAACCCATATTAGGGTGTTGTCTAATAACGATAAACAAAATAGATGTTGTAAATTACAATAATTATGCCAATATTACATGTCTGTGGTTTTATTTAAAAGAGTAAGTTGAATAAAAAGTATAAAAGTTTTAAAAGTTTAAACAGACAAGGTAAGGCCCACACATTGTTATAAAATAGTCTCTTCGATTGTAATAAATTAATAAATGAGCAAATAAATAAAATAAAATAAACATTACTTACATGCCGGTACTCTATTAATTGATGGATGGTAGAACATGGTTGAAACTACTATGTATTGTTGAATGGAGAACTCAATTCTATTATTGCAGTTGTTTGACAGTAAACGGGAAGTTCTTGAGGAGATAGATTTGATCCAATGAAGAAGAGATATGTGTGTGATTGTTTGTTAAATGGAAGTGAAAATGATCAGTTTCATTTAACAAACAATCACACACATATCTCTTCTTCATTGGATCAAATCTATCTCCTCAAGAACTTCCCGTTTACTGTCAAACAACTGCAATAATAGAATTGAGTTCTCCATTCAACAATACATAGTAGTTTCAACCATCTTCTACCATCCATTAATTAATAGAGTACCGGCATGTAAGTAATGTTTATTTTATTTTATTTATTTGCTCATTTATTAATTTATTACAATCGAAGAGACTATTTTATAACAATTTGTGGGCCTTACATTGTCTGTTTAAACTTTTAAAACTTTTATACTTTTTATTCAACTTACTCTTTTAAATAAAACCACAGACATGTAATATTATAATTATTGTAATTTACAACATCTACTTTGTTTATCTTTATTAGACAACACCCAAATATGGGTTTTTTTTATTATTTCAGCATTTGTTGAACTTTGTATCGAGACCTGAGGATGCTTTGCATATTGTAGAAAGCGAACCCGGTCGTCTGATAGTTAAATTAAATTGATTGTGAGTAAGTGTTATTTATTATTTCTTTACCTATATAATAATGCTGTAAAAACAGAAACACTTATGAAATATAAATATTACTCGGCAAATAACTAAAAATATATTGTTCTTGTTTGTGTAGATCAAATGAAGTCAAAATACAAACAACTTCGTCTAATGAAATAATAGACACATCTTCATTTTCAGGAAAGACAAATTTGTATTTATGAATTTTTCTTTAAAACTTTACAGTATAATTATAATCTTGGTCAATATTTATTACCAGTCCAACAAAATTTTTACTATACTTTTTCGAAGATAACTTAACCACAATAAAGTTATAAGTTTTGGTCTAATTGAATATTTTGTTTTTGATGTCTTAGATTCATTTAAAGTCATTTCATCACTATCCGAGTCTGATGAGTATATTTTTGTAATGAATTCGTTTTCGTTGTGTGAACTTTATTTCTTTTTTCTGATTTTGTTTTCCATATGTACCAGGTAATACTACCAGTTGTGTTAAGAAAATCCTAAAAATAAAGCAAAAAGAAACAATTCTTAAGTTAAAAACAAAGTATAAAAAAGGAATAGCAGAACATAAAAGGGCATAATCATTCTTTTAATGACAAATTAAAAATTCTTCACATTCAAAATAAAGGCCTTAAGCTATCTTTGTTAGAATCTATGGAAATCAACAAATTAAAAAACACAGATATAATTCTGAATGACCAACTTGAGACAAACAGTTCTCCCGTCCTCAACCTATTTCATTAGAGACTATAAATTGTAAATGCATGCCAAAAATAGATCACTTGATAAAGGCAATCAGTCGAAACAGCTGTAGTGATAATAGTTAAAATTAATTTTGTGGAAGTTTGAAAACAAAGTTTTCAGTGTTTTATTGTTACATAAAATGAATTTCCATCAAGTAACGGTCGAATCCATCAATTATTTAAAAAAGGATACATTTATTTGATTGCATCTGTGGGTGATGATCATTCTTATTTTGGGACGCATTTAAATGTGGGACGTCCATGGTACCAATTTTATAAAGGCAATATTTTTGAACTCCACATGTCAAGCATGATAATGTTCTTGCCTCTAGTAAATTATAGGGGGATTTTGTCCAAACAACTTTTATTATAGTCATTGTACCTTTAACTGTTTTTAAATCTGTAGTGGATACTTCATTTTCAATTTTTTAAATTTCCGAACTAGAAATTGTACGACATAAAGTCCCCTTACAATTTTTTCGAAGTTCTTTAATTAAACTATTAAAGTTGTATTTGGCAAATTAAGCTACATTCTTAAAAACAAAAGATATCCACAGCATCTTAAGACCAAAACTCCCTGTTCTTACTTATGGTTCCCAAACGTGGACATCTACAAAAGCAAACATGGACAAAATCATAAAAACCCAAAGAGCAATGGAAAGACAAATGTTGCACATAAGACTAATGGATAAGAAGAGAAACGAGTGCATAAGAGAGAAAACAAAAGTGAGGGATGTTAGACAAGAAGTTGCAAAATTGAAATGGAGATTTGCCGGACACAATATAAGACAAAAAGAAGACCGATGGAACAAAATTCGTATAAGTTGGAGACCGTGGGAATATAAACGAAGCAGAGGAATTCCCAATTGAGATGGGCAGATGATATCAAAAAGCACGTGGGCTCTAGGTGGATGACTGTAGCGACAGACAGAGAAGAATGGAAAAGGATTGGGGAGGCCTATGTCAAAAGATGGACCGAAGAAGGCTAATTAGATAGATAGATAAAAAAAAAACATAGTTTTCATCAAAATTGAAGAACCGTATTTCTTTATTACGGCATGTTAAACATAAACGCCCTAAACATTCTTCATTGTTAACATCACAACACTTCCTTCACTACTTCTGTTGAATTAGCAGCATTTATGATATGCAATGACTTTAATGTGCTTACAAGTAAAGTGAAATTATCACTTATTATACAAAGACATGTTTCTCTGCTTTTTTTCTGTGGAAACAACACCCAAAAAGGTCGAAATTTACAAAATCTAGAATAGTTCACTTTAACTTCAGGATGCTTAGCCTTAAATAGAATAAAAAGATTTTTGAAGGAATCATTTAGGTACCTTTTCTACTTTTTAATTTTCTTATAAGTAACAGTGTCCTTTTTGCCAGGGCATAACCGACTTACTTCATCTTTTTCAAAAAAGCTTGAAATAACTTCCTTTAATCTTAAAAACATTAATCTTCTTCTTTTCAATACTTGCCCAGAATTTTTATTTTTTACGATTCTTCTTGAACTAACTGATCTTACCAAATTTTCACACCTATATTTTTTAACTATATCTCCAGAAATAAAATGAACAAATCTTTGCTTGTCCTTAAATGTTCTTTGTTCTTTGTAGTTTTCCTTTAGCTGCTGCTGAAGCACTTCACCAATTACCGTTTCCGTTTTACTTCTGGAGTAACCTTCTGCCTAACGAGCATTTCCCGAAATTTTTAGTTGGAGTGTTAGGACCTTTTTCTTTAATCTTTCATATCTAAAAAAAGGTAACATTATTATAGCTCTTTTTTTAAATTTTAATATTACGAACTTTGTAATTGAAATTATGAAATTTAAATGATGTTTATTGATCTCTATTATTTTTGTTAAGATTTAATATTATTTAATAGTATTATACTTTTTTTGTATTTAGAAACCTTCTTACATGTCCTTTCTAATTTAGCTTTTAAAAGCTCTATTTCTTTTTTCATTCTTTCCCTATTTCTTTGTACTATTTGTTTTCCTTTTAAAGACTGTCGTGATGACTCAGGCTGTGGATTATTGTTGAGGTGTAATATCTTCTGCAAATTCCTCAGGAACTGGAGTAAATGGTGGGATTATTTCATTAAGCTGAGCCGAAAGTCTTTCTCTTTCTTTTTTTTGCGTAGTATGATTTTTTACTTTTTTCTCGCCAAATTTTCTAATATTTCTTTGCTCTCGTTCTGATAATTCATCAATTCTCTTAACCCGCTTCCTTTCTAGCTCTATATCGCTCTCTAGCCTTCCGTTTTTCTTCTTCATGGAATGCCGGATTATTTTTTATTTTTTCTCTTAACTTACGCATCTCATTTTTTGATCTTTCCCTAAAAACACTCTTCTTTTTTTCATTGTTTTTCGCCGAGTTTGCCATAGATTGTTTGCCATAGTTTGCTACATATTATAAGTTTGTAAAAAAATATTAAATTAAAAAAAATGCATGTTTATTTTTTAGAAAATATGTTATCAAGATTTAAGTACAAAATAAGAAAATTTTATAAAAATTTAATCAAACTTCATTTATGTTAACTTTTTCCCACTTTCGTTAATACATAAATTAACGCAAGTGAGATTAACTTGAGTGAGGTTTTATTATAAACTTCTCGAAAAATCCCGCATAAATTGTTTGGATAGTGACGCCATTTTAAAAATAACAACTTTGCTTAATTT